ATGGCATACGGCAGCTGAAAGTGTCAGGTGAGAAAGTCTCTAGTAATGCGGAGGCTGTTCAACCATTCCAAGAAAAGTTTTTGAAAGAGATAAGAGAAAAAGACCTTTGTCCTGAACAAATCTACAATGCAGACGAATCAGGATTGTTTTGGAAGGTTCTGCCAGATAAAACTTTAGCCTCTTCTGCTGAAACTAGTGCTTCTGGATCCAAGGTATCTAAAGAAAGAATCACTTTTATGCCTTGTGCAAACTCGATAGGGAATCATAAATTACAGTTACTAGTCGTAGGGAAGGCCAAAAAGCCAAGATCTTTTGGATCCGTAAAATTACCGGTGCATTATCAAGGACAAAGGCGTGCTTGGGTAACTAGAGATATTTTCCTGGAGTGGTTCAGAGAACATTTCGTTCCAGAAGTCAAACGTCATTTGAAGAAATTACGTCTACCACAAAGAGCATTATTGCTCCTAGATAATGCGCCCGGACATCCAGATGCTGAAGATCTGACTACAGAAGATGGCAATTTTTCCGTACTGTACATGCCACCAAACTGCACACCCTTGATTCAGCCTATGGATCAAAACGTAATTCAAAATGTCAAGATTAATTACAAGAAGAAACTGCTGATTCAAGTTTTTGCGCAACAAGAAGATGATGAAAGTTTAACACTACATGATGTTATTAAAAGCATCACAATTAAAGACGCAATTTTTTCACTAGCGCAATGTTGGGATCACGTGTCGTCGTCTCTCATCAAAAAATCTTGGAAGCCTCTATGGCCTGACCAATTCAATGAAGCAGAAAATGGATCAGAAGAAAACGATGGCTCTGACGTGGAAGACAATCTCCCACTCAGTCTTCTACGCAACCGTGGATATACAGAAGAAACCATTTCCACTTTCTTGACAATCAGCGAAGAGGAGAATTGCACAGAACCCATAACTGATGATGAGATCATAGCCCAACTTAGGCAAGAGACTGACGAGCTTTTTGTTGACAATACTTCTGCTTTAAACGTCAAGAAAATTCCTCATTCACAAGCTATATCAGCACTGAATACTTGTTTGGATTGGGCTGACGAAAATGACTTTTCTTTATCCGAAAAGATGATGCTGCGAAATTTGAGGGACAAAGCCTTTTCTTGGTCAATAAATAGAACCCGCCAAACTAAAATTGATGACTTTATGAATAAGTAACGTATATTTTGTGGTTTAAATATGTATCTTATAGTAGGCACCTCAATAAATATACATATTCTGTCAAAATATACTTTTTTTAACATACTATAATCCGAACGCCCCGCCAGTCCGAACAGGGGTTGTTTTTTGGTAGTTCGGATCATCGAGGCTCTACTGTAATTTAAACAAAAAAAATTTTTTTGTTTAAATTTAATCTAATTTTAATAGAAAAATAATAATAAAAAATTTAATTAAATAAAAATTATTCCTTTAAATGGAAAAGAGAGGAAAGGAAATTTATTATTATTTTTTTGATAGCTTAATTGTAGTGTTTTGCTAATTTTTTTTAGATAATATGTGATATTATGATATATCACACTAGTAATGTAACTACCACTTTAATTGTGCCAATCGTAGAGGAGCAAGATGTATTAAAATATATAAAGAGATTAAAAGCAAAATTGACTATGGGCCCTGATAATAATTTAGTTATGACTGTGTCGCTGTATTAGCTGAACCGCTGAAAATACTATTTAATCTCATTCTTTCCACAAGTACAATTCCGATTATTTGGAAAATGTCCTGTTTTTAAAAGTGGAAATATCTGTGAAATAAATAATTACCGCCCCATTACTATAATCTCTAATTTTGCTAAAGTTTTTGAATTTTACATCCATGACACCTTATATCAGGGGTCGGCAAGTAATTTTAGGTGGGGTCCGGATACTTTTAAAAATTTTTAACGAGGTCCAGAAAAAAATTCACATTTCTTACAAATTTTCATTTGAACTCAAATTTAATCTGCTTACTAACCATTAAGAACTCAAAACACTTACACAATTGTAAAATACTAGAAAAAATGATAAGGTTGTCACTCAAACGTAAAAAAACATTTTTTAAATAATTTATTTGAGTAATTTATACTTTAAAAAAATTTTTGGCGGTCCAATATTTTACCTTTCGCGGTCCGGACCTGGACCGCGGTCCGCCAGTTGCCCACCCTTGCCTTATATAATCATATTAAAAATAAAATTAGCCCCAATCAACATGGTTTTATGAAGGATCGATCAACATCCACGAGTTTAATGTGCGTATCACAATACATATCTGAGGTCTTGGATGATCGGGGTCAAGTAGATGTAATCTACACTGATTTTTCCAAGGCGTTCGATAGGCTTTCGCATGATATATTACTTCGTGCACTGTGTGACAATGGGGCATCAACCAAGACATTAAAACTTTTCAACTCTTATTTACGAGGTCGGTATCAATATGTATTGTATAAGGGATCGGTATCAAATAAATTTGAGGTCCTCTCTGGTGTTCCACAGGGTTCAGTACTTGGACCACTATTATTTAATATTTTTATCGATAATATTACGACAATTCTAAAAGTACCATACCTTCTCTATGCAGATGATGCTAAAATATATTCCAGAATAAATAACATTGATGATTGCATCTTACTTTAGGATAGTTTGAATTTGCTGAATGTGTTGTGTCAGGAAAATAAACTTCCGTTAAACATAAGTAAATGTACAATGTCTTATTGTCGTAAAAAGGAAATTCTGAAATTTCCCTATAGCATTTCTAACACGGTATTGACGAGACCTGAATATACAAAAGACGATTAGAAATTTAGGGTTTGTTATACGAAAGTCGCGTGACTTTCATGATACTCATACAATAATGTTGCTTTACAATTCATTTGTTAGGTCCAAGTTAGAATATTGTTCGGTGATATGGTCACCAGTATATACTAAATATATCGAAGCGCTTGAAAGAGTGCAACGTAGGCTGTTTAAATTTTTAGCATTTAAAGAGGACATTGCCTATCCTTCAATTGGAAATTCTCAAGAACTGCTTCTTCGAAGATTTGAAGGCAATTCTCTACTTGTTCGTCGCAATATGCATTCCATATTTTTATTTAAAGTAATTGATTATATCCTTGATGTACCTGATTTATTACATAGAATAAATTTTGTCACACCTAAAATCTTCAGACATCAAAATAAAGAGTTTAAAACGTTCTACTTAAAAACAGCCAACAATAATATAATACATTATTCCCCTTTCCACAAGATGTGTAGAAGTTATTATCTACTGTACACTTTTATAGATATATTTAATTTTAATGTTAAACATATCAAAAAAAATATATTTTTTGTGTTATAATATGTATGTGTGTGTACAAATTGTATTGTTATTCAAAAATGTGTTATTGATTTGTAAGTGCATGATACACTGGACATATTCATTGTTGTGACATCTTATTTTTTTTGTTTTAATTTATTTTATTTTCTGGTACAACTTTTTTATATGCATTTTTACTGTTTTACCTATATACTCTGTATTTTTGTTGTATTATCTGTTTATATTTATATATTTTTTTCATCTTCTCACTATCCTGTAATTAGGACTTGTTTCTGTTGGATAGTTTAGTCTAAATAAATAAATAAATAAATTGGCTAGAGAAGAGGGAAGCTGTCTAAATCGATTAATAACAGCCCCACAAAAAAAAAGTATCGAATCTGGTATTCAGACCCATGTATTTCCATGTATTTTTCCCGCTGAATTCGAATCTGCCTTCAGATCTGGCCCAATGGGTCTGAATACCAGACCCGATACTTTTTTTTGTGGGGCTGTGTAATGAGCTATCGAGGAAGCCCATTTTCATCTAAAATAAACTGCTAATAAAAAATAAATAAAAATAGTTACTAATACCTGTAGTACAGAAACAGGGTGCAATAATTACGAAAGAAAATGAAAAAAATTAAGTTATCATGACAAACCATAAAACAGTTACCTACGCTATACTTATATTTCTACGGTCGAACACAAATAAATCAGATTATCGTTGTTCCACAAAATGGTGCTACAAAATCATAGACCGCGTTGATTTCTAACTGGACAGTTTAATGTAAGGGATTTCACTTGATTTAAGAAATAAGGAAGATCAGCTTTGTATGATTTGCGCCAGTAGTTTGATTGTTTAAAAAAAAACATTAATTCGACTTTACAGATAAAGTATATCTCCTTAATTCTTGCAATCGGTATTATTATTTATTGTTGCTAAATCCTCACGATAGTGTTATCTGTTTGTTACTGAAAAATTCCTGTTCCGAATTGAGCTAATACTTTAATAATAACATGGTTGGTTTCTATTTTAAAAATAAAATTGTGGACAACGTGGACAAATGCAAAAAAATATCGGTTACGCCCCGTACACGAAACACCACTAAGTTAAGCGTCCGCAGACAATTTAGATCCCATCTAAAAAGCTAACTTTTTACGAGCTATTCAACAATTAGTTCCAAACAGCGTCTATAATTTGTGTGCATTTACATTTTATTCGCATGTAAAAGTCAAATCTCACGCTAACTTACGTGGAGATTGTTGCTGCACGTACATACAAACAACTTTATATCGGAATGCAGTTTTTTTAAGTACTTAACCACTATAAACGTAACAAATCAATCAATTAGTGAAATTTAAATAAGTGTTTAAAATTTAAAAGGTAGATGGATTTTTAATATGTAGGTATTTATTTATTTATGCAATGTTTGCCTTACCATGACAGAGAAAAAAACAAACAAAAAAAATTTGGGGTGACCCTTGGGTCAATTCTGGGCCCATTATTATTTCCCCTATTTATATATAAATTTCAGGGTCACACCAATAGTAAATATAAAAAATAACGAAAAAAAGATATTTTGAATTTTCACACGTTTTCAAAATAATTCAAGAAACAATCTAAAAACAATTCACGGTGCACAAATCTCGCAAAATGTACGAAATAATGGACAGGAGATCGCACACGACATATGACGCACATCGGAAGGTGCACAGCAGGAAAATACACTTTCGCCGATGTTCCGAAATTTTTCCAAAGTTCCCTTACGAACCCCCATTGTTGCCAAACCCCATCAGTTGTAGCAGACGATGCTAACAGAGTATGCTACTGGTCACTGAGACGCCGGCGCCGTCGAAAGTGCTAGAGGGCGCGAAAATTTTCAACTCAGTTCCTAATTTTTGAAAATTAAAATTTTTTCAAATATTACGAAATTCGGACTACCAAAATCATGAACCAAAATTAGTTACAGCTTTATAACTATTCGGAGACCACCACCGTCCTCACATAGGCGTTTTTCGAAAAGGTGAAATTCCAGAATGTAACACGAAGACCACAACACAGGACCCTTGCGGACCCAGCTAGTGGTGTGATCGAACGTCATCCCGAGTACCCTGCAGCCTACTAACCAGAGACGGATGCCTGGCCAGTACACTAATACGCTCCAAATTATTGTTTTTGCATTGTATATAGCTATCGCTATCGCTTCAATTTATTGTAAATTGATAAGAAAATTTAAATAATACAATTTTTATAAAATTCAAAACTGTTAAAAATTTATAAAATTTTCTTGAATAGCTTTTAATGTATTTAATATAATTTAATAAAAATTCTATGTGATGGATTTTTTCGGATTAAACATCTTAAAATGAAACTTTCCTGTTTGAATGACTTCGTATCCCAATTTTTATAAAAAATATATAAAAATAATACATTTTTAGTGTTTTGAGTTTAATTTATTTTCAAAAATTCTCAAAAAATCATCTTTCAATAAGCAAATTTATGAGGGGGATGGGATGGGATCTTTTTTATTCTATTTTTTTTCGAATTAAAAAAAATCATTTTGGTATTTTAAATTTTTTACAGATAATGTACGCTATTAAAACAAATTTTATTATAGAAGTAAATCGCGATGATTAATTACTGAAATACCATATTTTTAAAACTATTTCTGCTAATATTGTCATTATTAAATATCTAAATTATTATTAACTACATATTTCGATTCTTTTTTCAATATTAAAAAGTTTGTTTTGCATAATGCCATAATACCAAAACCAAAAAAGCACTCTTTTAGCTTAAAAATAAAAAATAATAAAAAACAAAATGTATTATAGGTATTTATATACCTACTAGTTGACCCCGCAAACGTTGTTTTACCATATAAATTATTCCTAGGATTATTTTAGTAGATTTTTCATAAAGAAATTTCACTTCTACCATCTATATTATATTTAGTGTTGTTCAGTGTATATCGTGTATAATTTTTTTATTAATGATAATAGTAAACGTCACTATTACGATTGATGCACACACAATAATAATAATGGCCGAAAACTGTAGGGAGTGAGAAACGGCTTATTGTGTGAGAGAGATCTCATCCCTATTCCGTGCTGTTTACTACGTCAGAAGTAACACCAGTCGACGCCTGGCGGGGATAAAAAAATGATCAAGTGATAATTGATCAGTTATCGACCGGGGTTGAAAATTATTGAATTACTAATATCGCTATTAAAAAATAGGGGTTGATGGTAGAAGGGTGAAAATTTAGGATTTTATGTATTTTTTAAGGCCACATCATAAAAAAATAAAAATAAAAAATTTTGTCCAAAAAATTAAAAAAAAAAAATTTGGGGTGAACCACCCTTAACATTTAGGGGTATGAAAAATAGATGTTGGCCGATTCCCAGGCCCCTTCGATAAGCACACAAAATTTCATCAAAATCGGTCCAGCCGTTTAGGAGGAGTTTGGTAACAAACACCGCGACACGAGAATTTTATATATTAGATTTTTTATAAACTGCGTCTCAAAACGAAGAAAATGAAAAAAAAGTATATAATAACTTTATAGTACTTTTTTTCATAGCATTTTCTTTTCCAGTATCTCCGTGACTGATTGAACTAATTTTTATCTTTATTGGCCATCTTTCGAGATGTTTGGATTGTGATACTTTTCAAAAATTGTCACACCCTGTCTGCTGAAAAGCAAGTCGCTCAGGGTATTATGTTGATAGGAACTTTTTTCCTTAGAATAATCTGAAGAATCACCCAATTTGTTATCGAATATAGTTATAACATTTCCAGTTCAAATATTCGTGATACACGATAGCATAATAAAAAAATGGTCTTTTAATAAGATTTTCTTGTTAAGTTGTTGCATATCTTATTGTTAATCTATTATTGACGTAAATACGTAACATTATAGATAAAACTGCAACTATTTTGGATAACTGTTGACTATTAGATAATCGAGTACTTGCGTTTCTATTTAATTTCATGTAAAATTAACAAAATTGATAATTCGATACCATTTGGTAGACAATTTTTGAACATCAGCCAAATATGTGAGAAAGCTGTAATTATAATTGTCGATAACATATAACATAAACTCTTAGCAAACGAAATGTTATAAAATATCTTAATCTGCAAATCCTACAGCTCACACATAAAAAGGTATCTTTAATAATAAACTACAAATTTCTTTAAAAGCAATTGTTTCTTATGAAGAAATATTTATTTAATTTGATTATATATCTTTATTTCAGTATTACTCATGTATTTGGAACAATTCTATTTTATGTTTAGAAAATGTATTAGAATCAAAGATACATCCTAAATTTAAACATATAATATAATGTATTAAAACATAGTAAATTATAATGTAAAACAAATCAATTTCTTTAAAACAATCATGTTTTAAGGTTGCATCTACATTTTTGTTATTTTAATTTAAATGAACTTATTTAAAACAAATAAATCATAA